TTCACTTAGAGTAATGTCCTCAAGGTTCATCCATGTGGTAGCATGCAAAATCACTTACTTTTATTAACGTTCTCCATATTGAAGGCCTCAGACATTCGAATGCCTGATTTGGCCACCGCATAAATTCTGCTTTCCTAATGTAAAAGAGAAATTTAAACTGAATATTTAAAGCAAAGAAATGATTACTTTCAATACACATGTTTTTCATTTAATATTCATTAGAGTACAGCATTATTATAAAACTGTCACCATTGCCAACTAAAATATGCCACTGTGGATAGCACTGCAGAGGTTTTTTCCATCCATTAATAATTCCATTATTTATCTTTGTTCCCAAATTTTTGCTTGGTATTTTAAATCCTTTTGGAGATAGGAAAAAAGAGTAATAGAAAGCTTACTCACAATCAATCACTGACTATACATGAACACTACCTCTAATAGCCTACCATTCTAGAATATGGTTAAAGAAAAAAGAAAAAAACTTGAAATCAGAAATCACAGATAGAGTAGCATTAAGTGTTATTACCTTCATATTTCAATGAAGTAGAAGAAACACCCGAGGTCAAATAGTAAATTTGAGAATTGCAATGGAATGTATAATATCTTGTTCCAGAAGTAGGTTATTTTGCTTTCTCTTTTTCATTTCAGAGATAGCTCTGAAATGGGTACTGAAAAGGTTATTAAACCTGCCCCTATGAGAAAAGGAACTCTAACCTGGATACAGTTGTCTAGACCATAGAACAGTAGGCACCTAAGGCAGTCCTGTTGAGGACTGTGCTAGCCAGGGGCCTGTGAGGTCACGGGCATGAGAATCTCTAACTGTCTGAGACACTTTGGATTGAAGAGTGGCTGACTGAATGACTCAGATGCAGTTTCTTTGAGAGTGTAATTGTGGGCAAAGTTGGCAGAACAGAGAGATACTGGTATATAAAAACTAGAGGCCTGGTGCATGAATTCATGCACTGGTGGGGTCCGGCCGGCCCACCCTGATTGGGGCAATCAGGCTGAGTCGGCAGCGGGGAGGAGACGGAGGAGGTTGGTGGGCTGGCCTGTCCCCTGGTCAAACTTCCGGTGGAACTCCTAGTTTAGGGGACAATTTGCATATTAGCCTTTTATTATATAGCATAAGACAGTAAGCAGGAGATGTGAGGCAGTGAGAAGTCAGGGGAGAGTAAAGAAGAGTAGTTAGCAGTGATGAGAAAAGCAGACTCATTGTAGACAGGAAAGGACAAGTGAGCCACTGGACCTGGAGCAATGGTGTCACCAGTTTCTAAGGAGTTGACTATCAGAGGTGCTGTTCAATCATCACATGTTGTCCCCCTAGAGTGACTACTGAATTTTAAATGACAGTCAAGTTCAATAAGGATGGGCTATGTCTTAAACTCTTAATAAAATAAACTCTGATAAATTGAGGTAATTAGAATACATCTCTTTTTTGTGAAACCTGAAAATACCAATAAACAAAAATAAAATCTCAAACTTGGACAGTCTGCTAAAGGGTTTGTGAAAAACAATAGTACTTTTTCAGGACTGAATAGTTTCAGCAGCCAAGGAAAAGCAAGAAAGGCAAAAAAAAAAAAGTAAAATGGTTTGCCAACTAAAACAAACTTGAAAGCCTAACCTAAATCTCTGGAAATCTCAACATAATAAGAAAAGCACGCTGCCTAAAGGATAACATATTTGGAATTCCAGAGATTCACATGCCAATAACATCCCCTTTCTTTTTTTGCTGTCCAGAATTTAGTAATAAACTGCAGACGGTTTCATATGGAAAATGAAAGGTTCTTCTGAAAGTAAATAAGAGCATATACAGCTCAAGGTCTGAATTTACACTAGGAAACATGGTCACCTTAATTTGCTAAAAACTGCATTTCTCACTAAATAAAAAAAGTAATAACAAAACATGACTCCCAAAACCCAAAATTCCTGCAACCCAGGTGTTTCTCTTGAGGCCACAGGTTAAATGATGTCAAAATGGGAAGGAAAACTTAAATCTACAGAACAGATCATTTCACTTTGTTTCAAATACAGGAAGAATTTTTAAATTGATGGATGAATTGATGGGTGAATTATTATATTAATTGTCAGTGTTTCAATGGAAGAATTTCAATCTATTCTGGATATTTAGGAAGATGCTTTTGGTTAAAGGAATGGATTTATAAGTTCATAAAGAGTAAAATTAAAGTTCTCTTAAGGCCAATCAATGAAATAATTAACTTCAAAAACTGATGACCAATAAGAGTGAAGCGTCCTGGTTGAGAATTCACCCACAAGTATTAACACAGTTAAAGAGGAACCTTTCTTCTCCACCCCAGATGTTTTCTTACATGTGGAGGGGGCTCCAGTAATTCAACACTCCTGATCTCTTCCCAACTATTCACTCTCCCCTCCCCGAGGAGAAGGAGTGGCTTAATGAGATCGGTAAGCTTAGAAGGAGAAACTGGACATGCAGAGTCCAGCACCTTCCTCTCTCCTTTCTCTTCAGAACAACCATTTGTTCATGCTCTGGGCTTTAAGCTTCCGAGGGCAGGGCCTCACTGGCCGCAGCCTGTGGGGGTCCAGCACCAGCTGGTGAATCAGTCAGCTAGCTCCAAAGTCCAGTATGAGAAAGCTCCTCTGCCCACCAATTCTCTAAAATCAGTTTAATCAGTAATAAAGGTAAGATTTTGCTCTCCCATCTGTCTTATCCTTGTCTTGTTTCTTTTTTTAAATATACTTTATTGATTTTTTTTTACAGAGTGGAAGGGAGAGGGATAGAGAGTTAGAAACATCGATCAGCTGCCTCCTGCACACCCCCTACTGGGGATGTGCCCGCAACCAAGGTACATGCCCTTGACCGGAATCGAACCTGGGACCCTTCAGTCTGCAGGCCTACGCTCTATTCACTGAGCCAAACCGGTCAGGGCTCCTTGTCTTTCTTCTCATTGATCCAGAACTCAGTGAGAAAGAGAAGGGGAAATTCTGTTCTAAAACAGGGAATGATCAGAACAAAGGTGGATTTGAACAGAAACAGGAAAAGAAGTCAAACCTGAAAATGAGTGTTAAGAAAAAAAAAATAGTGTGCGTGTGCTGCACACAGCAATACAATTTACCCAGGAGGGAAAACGGTGCAGGGGAGGAGTCGGAGGTTTGCTGCACGCCGCCTTCTTTGCTGAGTCACAGCTTTCCTGGTCATCTGAACACGGGGATTCCAGGGAGTCATAGGAGAACAATCCGTCGTCACAACTGGTGTCCATATTCTCCAAAACTTCCGTACTGTCGCCATCCACCAGATCCAGATCTGTTTCCTGGGGTCTCAGTGGCCGGATCATGCTTATGGCATTTCTGTTTGTACCAAACATCCTATCGGAACTTAACTGCGGCTGGCTTAGGTGCCTTTTGGCCAGTGCTACACTTATACTGAAAACATTAGGAATCCTTAACTTGGGGGGTGGCAGGTTGGATGAAGGCACTAACTGGGTTCCTTTTCCAGGCAGTAGGTTAGGATGCTTTGGAGTCAAAGCTGGGGTCAAAATCGGGCTTGGGGTGTTGGCCTCACTCGATGACGATGAATAATCCAGCCTCTGAGACTGAAATTTTTTATTCAGTTCATCTGAGGAACTATCGTGCTCCTTTTTACTGGACTCAGGATTTCCCTTCCCAAGAAGACTATTCTGAGCTTTCCACTGTGCTTCCTGCTGCCAAGAATACAGCTTCTTGTGCTCTGGTCTCTTTATGCCGAAAGTCTCTTCTTCAAATATAGAACTGCTGTCATCGGACGCTGTCAGATAGGTTTCACTGCCCATCCTGCTACACTGGACCCCTTCCTCTGACGTGTGGCTGGACAGGGTGGACGTGTACCTGGACTTGGATCTTCCTTTGCTCCCGTCTTCCTCATCGGAACTCCAGTCACTCCCGGGAGCCCCAGAATTCTGGGAGATGCCGCCCTCTGTAGTGAGGCTTGTTCTTGATTTCCGATTCTGCTCTGAGCCACAAGGGGTTTGACGCAAAGTTCTCTGACCTCGGCTGTTTTCTTGAATGTGGTTATCGACAGACTTCTCTGTAATTTCCATTTCTAGAAAAGCATATATCATATTCGCATGTTTGCCTTTAATAATATAATCTTTCTGTGCATTTAGCTTTATGTAACTACACTGTCAAAACTGGAGTTTTCATAAGAATAAAGTTAATTTACATTATTATTTTTTTTTTAGTTGTATGACTTTTTTAAACCCAAGTTTGGAAACGATAAGCTTTATATAAAACATGGAGCCCTGACACTTCAATAGCATAGTATCAAAATGAAACTGCTTTTACAAACAAACATGCTGGGAGGAAAACTGACAATAGTCTAAGGAGAGATAATCAAAAAAACAAAACATGAAATAGGGCAACACTACCTATCAAAGAAAGCAGCCACTAAAACATGAACACTCTTAAACTGATTTTAGAAGCAAAGAGAATGACAACCCTCTTTCAATTCTATTTCAAAATCATCATATGTAAATTTAAACATAATATAGTTTAAATAACAAACTTGGTTTCCAAACTTCAACACATGAAATAAATATGCAAAACCATGAAGAAAACATAAACAGAGAAGGGCTTTCCTCCCTCTACTTCTGGTTTAATCGTAACTTCAAAATGTGTTTTTATAATAAGAATTATACTCTTCTACAATGTCTTTAGATATGGCTTATTTTGTTTATAACATAATTAACAGAATAAACCACTGGCTTCAGAAACAGCGAACTAAAATTTTAGATCAAAGAGTACAAAATAAACTTTGAAACAGAAACATAGGTATGACCTTTATAACTAAGGAAATAGAGGCTGAACAAATAAACTGCAATTTGGTATCAGGCACTTTGTCAAATCTGCAAATGAACGAAAGTTTCAATACAGGCAGCCTTCTCAACAACAACAAAAATGAATGTAATGGCATAAAGTGAGTAGCAAAGGAGCCTTTTAGCTGAAAAAGCATTAGGCAGTTTTCAGAATTTCATAATCAAGCATAGACTTTTAGGACTATAATTTTTCTCCTTTGGGGGAAGCAAAGTGGGAACTGAAAATAGAGAAGATGCAAATTCAAGTCTCCCTGGAATACCTGGGAAAAGTCATCCTGGGTAGCAAAGCCAGCAGCTGCACCGCAAAGCAAAATTTAGAGGGGCTTTAAGACTAAAAGAGGAATATAAATCTGCACAGAGGTTAGGGTTTCAACATCCAGGCAGATATTTTCCTCGTTGAAGCAATAAAGGGAAAATCAAAGCAGTTACAAAAATTGTCCCCTGGTGCTCTTTTTCTTTAGAAATTTGCAATGTCATATTTAATATTAGGTAATTTTTAAATATTTAAAATAAGTAATGAACAGAAAGTTCATAGTACTAATCTGAAACTCTAAGCTGAAACAAGTACCATGTAGGTGCAACTGTGAACCTTTTTAAATTTTTTTTTTATTGATTTCAGAGAGAGGAAAAGAGGGGGAGAGAGAGATAGAAACATCAATGATTAGAGAGCATCACTGATGGGCTGCCTCCTGCATGCCCCACACTGAGATAGAGCCCACAACCTGGGCATGTGCCCTCACCAGGAATCGAACTGTGACCTCCTAGTCCATAGGCCGATGCTCTACCACTGAGCCACACCAGCCAGGCTGTAAACCTTTTTGTAATTTTAACTATCACTGCTTCCTACTGCAGGAAGAAGTACCAAGAGGGGAAAATCAGTTTCTCCTTTACCTCACTGGCAAAGACTCTCAAAAAAAAAAAAAATACATAGCTAGATACACAAAGTTAAATGCTGAACATCTCTTTAAAAGTATTCTCATAAGACATGAACCTGTCAAGAAAAAAAAATAAGAAAACTAGGATGAATCATTCAGATAGATTTTGTATATTTACCCTTTTGAGTGATGGAAAAATTAAAAATTAAAAAAGGAAAATTAATCTATATAAGGATTTTTCCCTTTTAAAAAATGTCAAAGCAAATTCCGCTAGTTCATAAATACCTTCTATGTCTTTTCCTTCAGTGAACTCAGGTTCTTTAGATGGTATCTTGCTCATTTCCTCAGATTTTACTACTTGAGGAGGACTCCTCGCTCGGGATGAAAAGCACCCGAAGGTCAAACTGCTTAGGCGCTGGCCTTCCGAAAGCTTTGCTGTGGAAACACTGGATGACTTCTTCCCTTGAGCTTCTGCAAGATCATTCATCAAAATCAAGATCTGAATTTTTCACAACAGCTTGATAAACACAGAACCAAAGCACATAAAAACGTGGACAAATCACTCCTTATGCCAGAATAAAAGCCTGAAAATCCTAAAGGTCATCTTTTTTTTTCTTTTTCTTTTATTATTCAATTTATTTAAACTAAAAAAAGTTTTCACCCATTTCTCCCACCACCCATCCATCGCTTCTGGCAGCCACCAATCTGTTCTCTGTGTCAATGAGCTTGGTTTTTCCATTTTATTATTTATTTTTAGATTCCACATATAAGAGATCATAAGGTATTTGTCTTTTTCCGACTTATTTAACTTAGCATAAGGCCCTCGAGGTTCATCATGTTGTTACAAATGCCGAGATTTCATTCTTTTTATGGCTGAGTAATATTCCACATATATATCTTGGCTTCTTTATCCATTCACCCATCAATAGACACTTAGATTGTTTCCATATCTTGGCTATTGCAAATAATGCTGCATTGAACATGGGGTACACGTATCTTTTTGAATTAGTGTTTTCATTTTCCTCGGATAAATGCCCAGAAGTAGAATTGCTGAATCATATATGGTAGTTCTATTTTCAATTTTTTAAAATCTCCATACTCCTTTCCATGGTGGCTAAACCAATTTACATTACCACAACAGTGTACAAGGGTTCTCTTTTGTCCACATCCTTGCTAACACCTAGTTATTTCTTGTCTTTTTGATAATAGTCATTCTGACAGGTATGAGGTGATATCTCATTGTCGTTTTGCATTTCTTTGATGATTAGTGATGAGGCCTGGTTGCCAAATGATTAGAGCAGCGGCTCTCAACCTGTGGGTCGCGCCCCCTTTGGGGGTCGAACGACCCTTTCACAGGGGTCGCCTAAGACCATCGGAAAACACATATATAATGACATATTGTTTTTGTGATTAATCACTATGCTTTAATTATGTTCAATTTGTAACAATGAAAATACATCCAGCATATCAGATATTTACATTACGATTCATAACAGTAGCAAAATGACAGTTATGAAGTAGCAACGAAAATAATTTTATAGTTGGGGGTCACCACAATATGAGGAACTGTATTAAAGGGTCGCGGCATTAGGAAGGTTGAGAACCACTGGAGTAGAGGGTTGGAAATTTCAGCCTCACTCTTCATCCTCTATATCCCTGACCTCAGGGAAAGGGAGAAGGGCTGACAGTTGAATTAATCACCATTGATTTTTAGAGGAAGTGGAAGGGAGGGAGGGAGGGGAACATCCACGTGAGAGAGACACATCAATTGGTTGCCTCCCACACTGCAACCCAGGTACATGCCCTTGACCAGGAATTGAACCCAAGACCCTTCAATGCACAAGCTGGTGCTCTAACTACTGAGAAAGACAGGCCAGAGCGACTAAATTTTTTTAAGCAAACATATCTGAAAATAAATGTTGAAATTAGTATTATCTCCTTTGTGTTACTTGCTACTGTCTACCTGTGTTTTCTAATATGGGCATGTGGTTATTTAAATATAAATCAATTCAAATTAAATAAAATGTAAAATTCAGTTCCTTAGTAGTGCCAGTCGTACTTCAAGTGTTCAATAGTAAAATTCTATATATTAGTAACCAAATAAAACCAATTGAGCTATTTTAGTCAAAGTACTCATACCTTGTAGTTTTGACTGTATTGTTCTTATCTCTTCGGTTTGGTTTTGGTTGATCAAACGAAGATTCTGATTCTCCAATTCCAGCTAAAAGGACATTTGGTATTCTTTTAAATAGGAATAACATTTCTAAAATATACTAGTGAATTATAATATGTAGAAAATGTTAATACCTAACTACACATAAGCAAAATACAAAAGATTTATGGATTTATCAGCATAAGTTATCAACTTATATAATTATGGCTTAAATATTAATTTTTCTAAAACTAAGAGTTTTAAGTGTTTTCACTCCCTATGACTTTTCACTGTAAAATTATTTTAAAACAAATTATTTTAGCATTTAATCTGCCATATAAACTAAATAATGTGTACTTCTCAAATACTGAACACAATTTTATGACATACACATGTTCTATCATTTTTTTAAATTAATGAATTAGAGTTAAAAATCAACTAATTAGAATGAGGCTACTTATACTAATTACCATGAACCTATCAATATTTTTTCATTTTAGAAATATATTGAACATTAAAATAAAAGCTACCTATCTAACATTTACCAAAAGACAGCAGCCAAACCAACTTTTCAGAATTTTGTTTCACCTAGACTGATCTATATTCTGATAACTTATCTATTTAAAAGAAGTAAAAGGTACAGAAAAAGGAAAAATATAACAGTAAGTACCTCATTTAATTTAAGTGTTACCCATTCTTTGATCTTAGCTGCTTTTTCTTCTATAATTTTAGCTTCTTGTATCCTTATTTGTTTCTGAAATAACATTATTTGTTTAGGTCAAATATAAGTTCACAGGTCTAAAAATGTCCTATCATGCATAGAAAAAGGCAAATTCACTTAAAACCTATTTCAAAGTTAATACCTTTACCTTCAAATTACCAAATAGAGTAAAAATGACAATTGTCCAACAGATACAATAAGAAACCATAATGGCATATGTGAATATTACTAGTTTTAACAATTGCTATTCTCTTTCTCTGAAAGATAATATACTGAACTCCATCCTCTGAACTTTTCAACAAAAGAAACCATTTCTGAGAATGGTCTAGGGCAGTGGTCGGCAAACCGCAGCTCTTTGGCCCCTTGAGTGTAGCTCTTCCACAAAATACCACGTGCGGGCGCAACGTACAGTGCGATTGAAACTTCGTGGCCCATGCATAGAAGTCGGTTTTTGGCCGGGGCAAGTCTATTTTGAAGAAGTGGCGTTAGAAGAAGTGGGGGGTGTTGGTCGGGAGCTGAGTGAGCCAGTCAGTCAGCAGTCTCATGTGCAGTGGTTAGTGCTAGTCGCGTCCGCAAATCGCGCGCGGGTGACAAAAGTACCTACTCGAAGCATAAAGTTACCTGTATTTTTCCAACCAGCTGCAAATCCTACCGGTATTTTTTGTCATCGATTTAAGAATTGTAATTATTTCGTGTGGGTGGCTTTATTATTATAAAATGAAACATTTTTTTAGGTGGCCGGGTTTGACATGGCTACCAAAGAAGAAGCAAAGAAAAACGGAAGACGAAAACCGTGAATTTAAAGTTGAATGGACCGAGACTGTTGCGTTTATTCAAAACTTAAATGGCCTCCGACCTGTCCTATTTGTCAGGAAAAATTGGCGCATACAAGAAATCAAATTTGGAGAGACACTTTACAACTAAACACGTGTCATTTAGTACTAAATATCTGTCGGTGATGCAGGAAGAAATAGACTCGCCCAGCCGAAACCGACTCTGCGCATGACCACGAAGATTCAATCGCACTGTACGGGCGCGCCCGCACGTGGTATTTTGTGGAAGAGACACACTCAAGGGGCTAAAGAGCCACATGTGGCTCGCGAACCGCGGTTTGCCGACCACTGGTCTAGGGTTTATAACAATGGGGGGGGGAGGGTCAACCAGGTTGGGGGGAAGAGAGTCAGAATCTCCTCTGGGGCATGACTTTGTTTCCCCCTCAAACACTACTAGCTTTTAAAGATCCAGAAAAAAATATGAAGATCAAAAAGCGCTAGCTCACATTTACCAACTTAAAATCGAGTTTGGTCACAAAACTCCTGAGAACGTAACTACTGTATAAATTACAGTTGGTAGGGAACAGGGGTGTTGAAGGCTGAAAACCACTGACCCAACAAAACACCAATCCCTACAGAAATGAAAAAAAAGCTGAAAATAAGTAATTTAACATATTTAACAATTTCAGAGTGGTCATATTTAAATGACGCTAAATAATCCTAATGCAATTTTTTTTTGCTAATAAACTTTTAAAATGAACTAAATACAATACTTGATCTCAATAAAGTAGTTTATAAGCAGTGTGCACATTTCTAAGCAGACAGATTAGCCACAAACTATATTTAAAATATAACGAGCCATCAACACTCCCAACATCCTAAACATTCTAAAACAAAGATTTACTTGAAACATTTTACAGACAGAAATGCCTGCTGATAACCAAGTGTTTTCAACTTAAACATTACACTCACACTTTTATAGTTAGGAGCATTGTCACATACAAAAAGTGTCTCAGAATTACCCCAGACTTAAAGGTGAAGGCCATTTCCTTCACCTCTCACCAATAAATGTGATGCAATTCTATGGGTTGACCAAATGAGTAAGATTTCTGACCAAAATTTAGAAGTTAAGCTCTGTCTCTTTCATCTTTGTGATTATGCATAAATGAATGCATATATTTAGAACTGTTTAATGATCAAATTCTTCCTAACCTGCTCTTCAAGTTGCAGTTCCAAGTTTTGTATGATATCATCTTTTTCCTGTATCAGGGTCTCCAGATCTTGACACTTTTTATATAACCTTGTCTCTGATTCACTGGTTTGAATATTAGCTGCTTTTAATTTCTCTTCCATAACTTGTACCTAAGTTCAGAAGGTAAATAATAAAATTAGGCATGGACTTAATTTATCATAGTATTAAATTAGGATTTTACTTTAACATTAAATAGGTTCCTAAAAGTTATCATCATAAAAGGAAAATACTGCACAGCACATTTCAATATATATAACAATTATCAAGTCTGAAGACTACTTTGCCAAGTGCTGTTAACTCTGAGGTACAAAAGGGTACATTAGAGATTTGCAGATTATTGCTATCATATAATGTACATGTTTAATAGAATAATAATAATATGCAAAGCATTTCATAAGAGTATAGAATCAGGAAGTTTCCAGCCCTAACTTTTTCATATTTTAAACAAAGTAGGAATATAAAGAAAAGAAGGTGAGTGGTGACATAAAGACTCTAATTGGATGGCCTAGCACAGTGGTCGGCAAACCGCGGCTTTCGAGCCACATGCGGCTCTTTGGCCCCTCGAGTGTGGCTCTTCCACAAAATACCACGTGCAGGCGAGCACGTACAGTGCGATTGAAACTTCGTGGCCCATGCACAGAAGTCGGTTTTCAGCCTGGGCAAGTCTATTTTGAGAAAGGTATGTTGAGATGGTTTGGACATATAGAGAGGATGAACGAAAGGAGATAGAGTAGACGAAACAAGTATACAAGACAAGTGTGGATGGGAGAGTTGGAAGGGGTCGACCTCAGCGAACGTACCTCAATCAGATTGAGGACGTTTTTAGCAAAGGCCAGCTTAGGAGTACCCTAATTAAGTTAATAACAATGTACCTACCTATACCTCTCAAAAGAAATTTCAATTGTTGTACTGTTGATACTTGGCTCTGTTGACTAATGAGTTTGCCGACCACTGGCCTAGCATAATAACACATTTTGAGGGGAAAATTAAACTTACATGAAAACACACACACACCACACACACACATACACACATACACATAATGGAAACACAAAGAACCTTAAGCTCCACTGATGGAATCATAAAAAATATTTTAAAAATATGAGTGTCAAGATATAGGTAGGAGAGTATGCCACGTGAGGTTTATTGATTCACTAATTTAACAAATATTCGGTGAATACCTGCCACTGCCAGGCCTGCTCTAGGTCCTGGGAAGACATCAGTGAATAAAATGGGCCTAAAGTCTTTGCTTGAATTGAAATTAAATTCTACTGGGTAAGAGAGATCGCAAGTATAATAAAGGTGTAAAAATTATACAGTATGTTACACAAGATGATAAGGGTAACGGGAAAAAAAGAACAAGATAAAAGAGTGTGTCTGGGGGTACAGTGGTGCCTCAAGTTTAATATCTAAAATATATTGGCTCTGTTTGGATCTTTTGCAAAACACATTTGAGCATATGAAATCTTAGAAGGGATGTGTGAGTGTTAATGATAGTAAGAAAGAAAATGAAGTGCTGGGCAATTTCTACAACAGTAAGACTTTTAGTTTGTATACTCCAAATAAGCAAGAATGTAATTTTAGCAATGTTTCAGATTATAGGGGCAAGGAAGAGAAATATGCAAAAGTATTTGAGGAATTAAAGATTATAGTTAGGATGAAAAACCTTAAACTATTAAAAACACCTCTGACGCCAAAACCAGTTTGGCTCAGTGGATAGAGCATCGGCTTGAGGACTGAAAGGTCCCAGGTTCGATTCCGGTCAAGGGCATGTACCTGGGTTGCGGGCACATCCCCAGTGGGAGATGTGCAGGAGGCAGCTGATCGATGTTTCTCTCTCATCGATGTTTCTAACTCTCTATCTCTCTCCCTTCCTCTCTGTAAAAAAATCAATAAAATCTATAAAAAAAAAAATAAATAAATAAATAAAAACACCTCTGAAAAATCACACAGTCCTTACTTAATATTTAAAATTACTTAACATCTAGAAGGATGATCTTAAGGTTAGTTTTGGTTTTTTAACCATAAATACAAGATTTTATCTGTGGGTTCAGCGTATAAATGTAAATCCAACTCCAATGCCAAAAGTGTCCTATTTAAATACCACCCACATGGCTGGAAACTATGAAAATAAAAGTAGATTTTTAAAAAGATAAAAATGTATTTCACTATCTAAGAGACAATTTTAAGTTATCTTAAGGTTTAGATTTTTTTTTAACATAATATAGCAGGCTTTCTGCAGAAACTGCAGACCCATAGTCAAGGACACAGGTCTACATGAGAGATGCTGTCGTGAAAAACAGCTGGAGCAGGACAGTGAGTATCTAGGGTCGATCTGAAGATGGTACAGCCAGTTCTGCACAGGACATCCTGTAACTGTGGAAGCAGAGAGAGAAGAGCAGAGTCCAAGTCCAAAATGCTATTTCTGCTCCAGGGATCCAGTAATAGATGATAAACCTAAAGGGGAGCAGAATAGATCTGCCCCAAATATGCCTCTTTGGCATACTGATTATTTGAATTAAAGCTCCTTGAGAAACAGCCAGTACAAGAAGGACACTCTGACCCTTTGGTTCCCCCCAAAGCAGGAAACAAATCTCCCATGTGAAAGATACCCTCCCTGTATCAGGAGGGTAGAAGGCATTCTTACCACCGGAATAAGAAACTTAGGGCCGAGAAAACGATATAAACAAGTCTTGTTACTTCTTCACAAATTTAGTGAAGCGCAACCCCCTTTGTCTTGTCAATTTTTCACAGATTGATTGTTCTCTCGTCTAAAAGGTATGAAAGCTGCCTGCTTTGTTCACGTCTATGAGCCTCATGTCTTTATGGGGCTCCCATACATAAATAATTAAATTGGGGGGTTTTATCCTGTAAATCTGTCTTACGCCAGTTTAATTATTAGATCAGCCAAAGGGCCTAGAAGGAAATAAATTTTCCACGCCTATAAAGCTAAAGGAAACCAAAAATAACTGAATAAGAATAGAAATAAACATTACCAGGCCTACACCTACAGCCTTTTTATTAAGTCAGAGCAAGCCACCCTACAGACCTCGGGCTGCCACATAAAACTGTCCTGTTATTGCCTAGGAAAACTCGGGTTTGGGAGTACGCATCTCCCTTGAAAAACACGTTCAGTTTGAAAGGCGTTCTCGTTTTATGAATGAATGCCACAGTCAGAGCTCCTTGGCTGCATCTTTGGCACGTGCAACTTTGTAAATTGATTAGTACTTTTAGATAAACAACTTTCCCGGGCAAGGAGAATATTGGCAAAAATGGCAAAGTCTCCTAGGGAGAGCGATCACAAAGCAGTGCCAGGCAACCCACTTGCTAAGTGGTCCTGTTAGGACCGAGCTCCACAGAATTCAGCAGTCGTCCTCGATAATTAAGGAATAAGAGTGCTACAGAAAAGGCTTATAGAAAAACCAAGCCGCTTTCAAAATATCTCACCACAAGTCCACAGAAAATAGCCCGGTTCTTTTTTGATTCATTTAATCTGGACCATATAAAAATTTTAACTACTCAGAGATTGGCCAATAACAAACATACATGAATTCAAACTGGTTGGTAAAGAAACGCTTGCCAGGCTCCGGAGATCAGGATGACTGAGGAGTAATCATTTATTAGGAACCAAAAATGATTTGGATACTAAGAACCAACTTTACAGAAAAGCAGATGAGCCCACATGTTAGAATGGTCACGGGGAACTTTAAATCCAGCTCCTACCAATCACAAACAAAGGCAAGTGATTGAACTCCGGACACAAGGAAAACACAAACTTCTCCAGGGGAAATTATTTACCCCTCTTTGGTTAGCATAAAACCGTGTAGTGCCTTTGAGTACACGGCTAATCAGGTACTTGGGAATGAATCCTGTGGATCATTATATCCAAATGTGCTACTTGTTGTTGTTCTGTCTCATAGAATACTCATAAACAGTAGTGGGTTGACCTGCACACACTGCTTTCAACAGTTGTGAGTAACAATAAAAATGTACTACAGCATTAAGTATAAAGACGGCCAATATGCCTCTGGGGAAATATGTGATTTTTTTTCTAAAGCCCATGTATGTAATGGTTTTGCAGGTGATGCCACTCATGAATAAACAAGAAGAAAAATGGTCAAAGCTTAAAAGTATCCTGTTGAGCTGGTTTCAGCTGACTACTGCTTTTAGTGGTGAAACATTCCTTTTTGGTTAATAAAGTACAGTTTAAGTCTTAGGCTATGGCTCAATGACAAAGGACAAGCTGAATTTAAGCAACATAAACAACAGATAGGCCACAGTCTCATGGAAACTGTTAAAGATAGCAGAGGATTCAGTTGCCCCAACTTAATAATATTTACTTAATCTTGTGAAGGCCAAAAGCAAGGTGCTATAATCGGTGCATGAGAATTCATCTGCTCTGTTTATATTTCCTGTTAACTTTTAGGTTCATTATGAAGTATTTAAGAAAAAATTCCATTGGAAGCATAAAAAATAGGTACTGAATAAATTTAAAGTGTTGTCACAAAAAGAAATATATACAGATTTGGCTAAATTCTATAGGAACTGGGAGATTTGCAAGTCTTACTCCTTTTTTAGGGGTGGGAACTGATTTAAGGCGGTATGTCTAAAATAATCAACTATCATGTTTTATTGCTTAAAAATGTAGCACAAAGAATTAAGTAACTTTACACCTGGTATCCTCAAAGGACAACGTCAAATAAGAAGTTCTTCCTGTTAACTTATCAAATCGGTAGATGAGCCTAATGGCTATAAACTGCCATGGTTTTCTTCCCTTGAATTGGGGATGGGGTTTCTTTATTTCTACTAAGATCCAGTGAATCAAAGAAAAAAAAACCCCTGAAAATCACACATAAAATGTACTTAGTTTAATTTTCAGAGCTAAATAAATGTGCCATATATGTAAAGTAAGTATTTCAACTTAAGAAAGGGCAAACAAAGCCATTCTCAATTTCTTTCTTTCTTTTTCCCAATAGTATGAGTAGTTAAAGATGAGAAAGAAAGGGTAGAGAGACATATAGAGATAGACAGGGGCATTAGAGGTAAAGAGAGATGTCATCAGGAAAGGCCAAAATCAGAAAGGAGAAGACAAGGAAGTAGACATGAAAGCCAGAGAGGCAGACAAAATGTGTGCTGCAAGGTGTGGGGCTAAACAGGGACATACATATAGGACTCACCACAGAAAAGAAACAAAACACTTGGTGTAGAATGACAGAGTGTCATAAAAATAAGAGTCTTTCATAGACTATAAGTAACCTTTTACAATTTTAGGCTTTTTAGCCAATACTTAGATTGAAGTGGAGATATTACTATCAGCTAAAGAATATAAGCCCTGGCTGGTGTGGCTCAATAGGTTGGAGCATTGTCCCTTACACCGCAAGGTTGCGGGTTCAATCCCTGGTTGGGGTGCGTGCAAGAGACAACAGAACAATGTTTCTCTCTCACATTGATGTTTCTCTCTCTCCTTTCCTCTTTCTAAAATGAATAATAATAATAATAATAATAAATATAAAAACCAAGCACAGCAAAGATCCTTACCATTAGTACTAGTACTTCTACCAATACCTAAAGTTGAGGTTTTAGAGAATTATTGGTAATTTTTTAACGTGATGATGGCACTGTGGTTAAGATTTTTAAGTCTTCATTTTTAGATTAGTTGCTGAAATACTCATGGGTGAAATAAGATGTCTGGGATTTGTTTCAAAATAACCTGGTGTGGGGGTGAGGAGAGAAAAGTGGATGGAGTTATAGAGTAACCATGAGTTAATTAACTGTTGAAGTTGGTATTGGGTGTTCATTACCTATACTCTTGTAGGGGTTGACATTTGGCATAATAAAGTTTAAAAAATTTCTTTTCAAGAATAATTAATTTAAGAAAACTAAGGATTAGGTTACTTTGGGTTTCCTTGGAAACTTGTCAGGCCACTAAAAGAATCCGCTGTGTGAAATTAAATCTTTTAGGTGAAAACATAATTTGATAATGCTATTATCAAACTGAAGGACAGAAACATGATAAATTAGAGCAAGAATAAGAAATTTAATATAAACTTCTTAGAGAAATAAGAATTTTGAAATTCTTGACTGAATCTGATAGACATCTTTTCATAAAATGTGAAGCTATGGATTAAGGTTATTAGACAAACTTTAAGGTTGGTGGCCTCATCCAAACCACTCATTTTGCTGTTGGCAAGACCCAGAAAGGGTTAAGTGAATTATCAAGCATTTGACTTGTCTCCCCAAACCTATTAACATATTAAGTGTAAAATTTTGTATATAGTTTTCCTAATATAACTCTAAGCATTGTTCCATATTAGTAGTATATATTCTTTGTAATATTATTATTTTTAAAGTTTTTTTAAAAACATGTTTTTATTTATTTCAGAAAGAGGAAGGGAGAGGGGGAGGGAGAGAGATAGAAACATCAATGATGAGAGAGAATCACTGATCAGCTGCCTCCTGCACACTCCTTACTAGGGATAGAGTCCAAAACCCAGGCATGTGCCCTGACTGGGAATCGAACCTCAATCTCTTGGATCCTGGGTCAACACTCAACCACTGAGCCACACCGGCCAAGCTATTATATTACTTTTAATTGTTGTTTAATGCTTCATGGAGTGGATATAGTTCACTCCTTTATTCTTCTATGACATGGCATTCATATTACTTCCAACTCTTTATTACTATAAATAAAGCTGCTATATTATTCACATACAAAACTTCATTTTGATTAGGATTACCATAAAATTCGTATTTGATTTTCTCAAAAGTAAGATGAAACTTCCTAACAGAAGTATATTTATCCTTTTGAAAATCAGTTAAGTGGCAAAATAAAGCTAGATTCTCCATTTCTCTATGGATCCAGCTCATGAACAGTCAAAATGATAGTATGTAGAGGAGGGCAGAAGACTAGTTTGAGGACCGTTTTGGGCAAAACAATGTTGATATTAGTAGAGGGAGAAGAAGGCATTTTTAACTAAAATTATACCCTACCTGTTGAAAAGCTTTTTCTGCTTGACGTTCAGCATCAATAACTTGTCTCTCAAGCTGTTGCATCTGTAAAGTGAGGAAAATAGAAAAAATAGAAAAGCTCGTATTTCCCTTTTGAAAGGCACTTAGAAATCTCACAATGTCATCAACTTTTTAAGAAATATTTAAGGTAGTTCAATGGATATGAATGACATACAATTTACCACATTAAAGTCTCTTTCAGTGCACATTTAAAAACAGATCGAACAAAATACCAAAGGTTTGATACTTTTAATACAATGTAATATATAACACATGAGTATACAATATACATCAATAGAATTTTCTCCATTGGACTGTAAATTAAAAATTATTCGTCAACACGTAATAAAAACAATAAATTAACTTTAAGAGAATGGTAAAACCTCAAATGTCATTCTTGATTTGTTGATCAGAAAGTCACAATGATATCAGAAAGTGGTGTATTCTCATAAGCTGTATTTCCTCTCTCTTTCTTGGAGAATCCAAAAATGACCATGATTGGGCTGTACTGAAAGATACTTAGGTCCATACTGGAACAAAGCAGAGCCCAACAGTCCTAAAAGTGATTAGTTTGTTTAACATTTTAACGATGACGTGGATACAGATGAGGAAAACTTACAACTACATCTTTGAAAAGTATGGCAACAACTACAACTGGTTCTTCCTTGCACATCCCACTACACTTGCTGTCATTGAAAATTTAAAGTAGCTTCTGTTTCCTAGGGATGCATCACTACCCTCCTATCTGGGCCACACGACAACATCTGGCGACTTTAAATACATGACTATGGAAGGAGGAAGTGTCTTAAGTATAGAACCTATGAAAAGACTTAGCCTTCTAAAAGTGTGCAGAGCTAAGCGATTTGGAAGTGATCTGAAGACATGCAGCTGGCAGTCTGCCTGAAATATGCAGGAGTTCTTGCAGAAATGCAGGGAAAGAGATAGAACCAAGAGAAGCTCAATTTGGAATTTGAGATTCTAACAGAATTCTACACTGAATAGGAAATAAGCTAAGCAGTTTCTCCCCAGATTTTGAGTGTATTTATTTAGTTACATAACAATGGTTAAGGCAGGAGTAATGAATACCACATAATAAAAATTCAATAGATGTAATATAAACTTTGATAAAAGAAAATCACTATATTTTCACAATCTATATTATAGATCATAAATGCTGAATGTGTCACATTACATAAATGTAAGTACACATGTAAGTATCTCCAATAAAGTTTAGGACACTTTAAAATCAGTTTATAGAAAAAAAATATAAAAGGCAATACTTTAATTTTGAGTGACTGTTTTCATAATCATTCAAGCTGGAAAGCAACTTTGCAAAACACTTAAAGCAATGCAGAAAATATTCATGTAAGTTTTTACTTTCACGATGTAAGCTATTATGTAAAGCTTAGGCTAATTCCATAACCAATCCACACTAAGTCACTAAAAGAAACTTGAATGATCTGCTGCCCATATCAGGCATTGGACAAAAATAAGTATTTTATGAACAGGCCACTTAATACGATAACAAAACCTTCTGTTTTGATTACTACAGAAGTGCTCTCTGTAGCCAGACTGGACACAGCAGCAAATGGCAAGAGGAAATCTGCCACTGATCTTAGATCATAACACCACTGTGATTAATGCTTAGTGTTTCAAGAATTGTAGACTGGCTACTTTAGACGGAATACTTTAGGACCTTTATACTTACTGCTGTAGACAGCAATCCCCCAAGTAGCTTTCTTCCTGACTGTTGCCCCCATAGAACCCATAAAAGACTCTATCATCATTTTATTATAATAAATAATATCTTCAGTCAGTAGCCCAAAATGATATAAATTAGCCTGCAAAGTCTTATTGTTAGTATACGTATAATTTCTGTTAGGCACTGTGAAATATTAGGTGAGGCAACAGAGACACTGAGATGTGGAATTTAAATAGGGTAATCGTGGTCATATGAAAAGCAAACATTGTGCTGTCCACGGACTCCTCATTCCCATGAGAGAATTCTAAACCACCTCTGGGGAATCATAGTCACAGCAGGAAGGTCAAGTGGCCAGAAACCAGACAGTAATGCTGTATCAGCCAAAGGCAGCATTAGGTGATTTGGGCCACGCTGATACCTAAAGGAAAAATTCTTCCAATCTAACCCATAGGAAATAACATTCACTTCAACTTAAAATGAAATTTTCCTTCTTCCCTCCCTGACTCAGAAAACTAGTAATACTGTAAAGTAGGAAAACTACTTAAATCTCAGCTTCCCTGAAGAGTTTATATTTGGCATACTAGAGATATTTCCAACACCATTCCTTAAATTCCTTTAAAGACCTCTCCCACTTACAGCAGTATTTGCCCAAGACTTCAATAAGGCCTTTTTCTTCATAAACTTCAATATTCTAAGTTACTTAGAAATTATGATAAAAAAATACAAAATAACTCTTTTTAAGAAAAATCCCCTGTATTCTCCTACTCCATCTCCAAAAAAAAAAAACACATAAGGTATACATAACTAAAAACTCACCTTTCATTATAAAAAACACTCAGATCATCTCACACATCTTTCCTAAAAATTCAGAAAGATGTCTCCTATTAATTAGTAATTACATTTGTTGAAATCATCTCCTTGCACACTTAGCCAGTGTATTCATTTAGAAAGATATAGGAAAATAATAATGAGTTACTTCTATGTGCCAGGCACTCTATTTATAAACTGCATCACAAGAAAAGCGTGAAAGATCATTTACTGCCAGCTCTTCAATTTCTAGCTGTGTGATACTGGGCACACTATTCAAATACTCTCAGTCTTAATGTCAACATATTTAGACTGGGAATCACAATAGTTTCCTCATCAGGTTACTTTGGGGTTTAAATTAGCTAATGGTTGTACTAATTGCTTAGGACCTATAGTTAGCACTTACTGTTAGCTGCCATAGCCCGTGCCAATAAAACAGAACCAAGAATCAAAAACTATTGCAGAAAAGAAAAGTTGGCTAGAATTCCTGGCAAAGAGCTAGAGAATCAAATTAGTATTATCTCAAGAATCCTTAGCCTTGGAAAAAAAAAAAAAAGAAAGAAAGAATCCTCAGCCTTGGACCAGCATCCATTTGGGGGGAAGGTGTGGAGAACTAGCAGGGAAAAGCTATAGATAAAACCAATGGTTATGAATGGGACCAGACTGGCCTCTGGAATGCAATAGTTGGCATGTAGAAGCAATGCAATAGGGTTCACTTTGAAAAGATACGTAATGTTATGTAAATCATTATTACTACATACACACACACATCGTAACACACAAATACCGGCCCCAAGCGGAGATGGATTTATATGCTGCATGGCTGAAAAGAAGACTGAATAGATGAGTGGGTATGTCAGAGAAAGCAAGGAATGTGGTAATAAAACTAGATGGGAGAGGCCATATAGGGTGATGGCTAAGCATTCAGGTTCTCAAAGCAGAATGCCAAGTCTCAAATCTTGGCTTCATCACTTACTTTTTGGCACAAACACAGGCAAGCTAAGTAACTGCTATGCGCCTAAGTTTCCTCCTATGCAAATATGGATAATTCAGTACCTAACTCACAGATTGTTGTTGTAATAATTAAAAAGTTAATTTACATAAAGCACTTAGAAGACTGTCTGGCACATAGTAAGCATCAGTTTCCTAATCTGTAAAATGGGAACAATAAAATTTATTACTTCACAGGTTGTTAAGCACATAAAAAAATCAACAAATACTTGGTATTTTTATTAAGACATGCGTGAGTACCAAAACTAATTTTTAATCCAGAGAAAAATATTGCATAATGGAATATAACAGAAAATATTGTGAAAAACGTTATTTCCATTTTGGTGTTGAATCTACTTACTGGAAAACCATGAGTAACTTGGCAAACTTATCCACTTTCCACTGTATAAGACACAACTGAGTAATTCCATCTCTTAGATCTGGCAAAGGATTTAAGTCACAGATACAAAAGACAAAAAAAAGGGGGGGAGGAAGAAAAACCCACAACTAAAATAGCAATTTGAAAATAATATTACTCTCAAAATTCATCCACTGACAAAGAAAAAAGAAAGTCTAGTAACATAAATTAATAATCAAAAGCTATTTACAATTTTACTTGTAGAGAAAACAACACTAACATTTTAAAAATGGGCACTAAAAAAATTTTGTTACAAGCCTTCTAAAAAAACAGAACAAATGTTGCCATCAAATTCAGAATTTAAAGGTCAACTAATTGGAAACCAAATAAGCATAACTTCTATTTAGTCCATAGAGAACCAAGAAAATTTTGAGGAGTCAAGAGTGTGCTAACTGCTGAGAGACTAAGGCAACACCTGGAAAGTTATCCATGAGGTTTAGCAACACGTATATAATTTATAATTTTGACAAAAGTCATTGTATCAGGTGATTAGAATTGTGGAAAATACCAGATAAATCACAGTACAACCTAAGAAATGATTTTTATAGAGAGAGGAGCAAAAGACAAAAGCATGTGTCACTAACTTTGAGGTAGGATAAGCTCCCCCAACTTGGAGATATTCAACTGGTATTTTCTTCAAGTTACAACTTTGATTATAATAGAGATAAGTAAAGCAAATTGATATTGGGTACTAATGGCATAACTTTAATCTTTGGACCTAAAAGATGTTAAAGCACAAAAATTTAAGATGATATTAAACTGAATGATGTTTTTCTGGGTTTTAGTGATATGTAGTTATATCATTAGAATACCTCTGTGCTAAGAGATTCTTAGCTAGCAGTGAAAGGAAGATTTAAGATGATCATTTTTGGACATCGGATACCTGTACCAGCCCTCCATCCAAAAGGATTATGCAGACTACAGTTGAAGAAGCCACCTCTAAGTTACTCTGATCAGTTATGAATGATCAGTAATATCATTTATCCATTCACCCAGACAGCACTGTCCAACAGAAATACTAGTACATAATGTGAGTCACATGTATAATTTTAAATTTTCTAGTAAAATTAAAAAAGTAAAAATAAATAAGTAAAATTAATTTTAATATTTTTATTTAACCCAATATCCAAAAATTATCATTTCAACATGCAATCAATATAAAAATTATTTCAAGAGAATGTAAAATATTTTACATTCTTTTTTTCATACTAAATCTTTGAAATCTGGTGTGTGTTTTACATTTGCAACACATTTCAGTTTTACCTAGCTTTATTTCAAATGCTCAACAGCCACTTGTGGCTAGTGGCTGCCATATTGGACAGTGCAGATCTAGAATCCAAGTTCCCTGGAAATAGAAACACGGCTTGTCTTGTTCACAATTGTAACTGCAGCATTAAGAACAGTGTCTGTCACATAGTCAGCCCTCAATGAATATTTTTGAATGAATGACTGCACAAATGAATGAATTTATCTATTCATTTTATACACATATATGCCCCCCAACTTCTTGTGACATAAATAAAATTTTAATTACATGATTAGAATTATTAAGAAAAGCATATAATTATCTTAAATTAAATTCCAGCTGAGATGATAGTTTAGTGGTACATAGTCAATATAAGTACTGTATTTTTTCAAATATAGTATAAACACATTTTACTATCAATAGAGAATGTTCTTCTATAATCACTTTAAACATAACTTTCCTAAACATTTAAGTAGATCAAAATGCTGTCACACTTCTCTAATAAAATAAAATAAATTATAGCTTTTCTCTCTGGAGTAAATGCACTCTACATTCATCAAATACACATAATGCTTACATATCCCATTGCATAGTATTTGCAATGAAATGTCTTTGTCTTAATTTACTCTAAGACTGGCAAAAGACTAGACCAAATATGGCTTCAAAGCCCTGACAAAAAGTTAAGTTATAGTCATTTTGCATCAAGTGTTTGTCCCCAAAAGTACTGAGATTATTTAACAGAAATGAAATAGGCCCTAAATCGCTGCTGTTTAATAACACAGGTTAAGGAGAAAAGCTTACCTTCTCTGCTAGGAGCTCTCTTATCTTGCTTGCTTGAACTCTAAATTTCATGAGTTGGGACTCCAGAGCTACGCATCGTTCTTTCCAATCTACTGGTCCTTCTGTCTCGGAAAGTTCTGCCATATTTATTCTATAAAAGAAAACATTCAAATGGCATAATACCAATTAGCATTCAGGGTAATTCATTAAATCATCTGATGTACACATTCTAATAACCACCTAATCATATCCAGATACAAGTTTCAAATTCTAAGATAAACTCCAGAACTGGTGATAGCACATGGAAAGGACTTAGTTGGATACGGTATGCCAGGGTTGGAGGCCTAACTTGTATTAATTAAATTTTCTATGTAACCTAATCTTTCTCTGTCTCAGTTTACCCAATCTAGAAAAAGGGGGACATGATAGTAAAAAATCATTCTTTTTCATGGGTATGTTATGAGGGACAAATTAAATAGTGCAGTGTTTAACAGCACTTTGGACAGTAAAATAGCACCACAAACATGCGAGTACTATTATTATTTTAGCTCTGCTCAACAGATAAGATTTTTAAAATCTATCAGCTCATAATTTTATCACACTCTTAAATTTACAGAATTATTACAGTTTGATTCTATTGGTAGCATGATAGAATTACCTAAAGAAGCTTTATACCAGTGCTACAACTAAGGCTTGGATTTACTAGTATATTATAATTATTATCACCACCCTAAATTTGTCCAAGTCCAGGTTGTTTTCAAGCCAAAAATGCTTTGGCATATTTAACTGGGCAAAGTATTATAACCCTGGACAAGTTTGCATAATTTTTATTCGGTACAAGAGGAGAAAACATATAAATGTAAAATTTAGAATCACCTACATTAAGCAAATAAATCTGGAATCAGTTTCTGATTAACTTTCCTTTTGGAGGAGAAAGGTTTTGAAATTCTAAAGAGCAAAAAATAGTACTTGATTTTGAAAGCCTGTTTATTTCTGGCTCTGGGATTAATGAAAGTAATCTGAAATGTTTGTTAATGTTTTATCAGGTCATTTAATAAATAGCCTGGTAATAATATATTTCTGAATTGGTCTTGCTATAAATGGACAAAATTTGCATTAGAAGTGAATCTCCTGAAGAAACCAAACCTGTCATTTAATATATGTGACAGCAAAACTCTCAGAACCCAAGGATAGAACTGCAGTTGAAGCTGTACTTATCTGCGCTTTTGTTTTACAAAAATATGTCTCCCTCACATATTAACCAATTTCCCCCCAATATTTAGTGTAATATAACCCCTAACTTATACCAGTTTTTAAAACCACAAAAGATTATTTTCCTAGCATAACTACTGTTTTATGCTTGCTCTGGCCAGGTGGCTCAGTTGGTTTATACAAAAGGTTGCGGGTTCGATTCCTGGTCAGGGCACATAACTAGGTAGCAGGTTGATCCCCAGTTGTGAGGTGGCGGGTGTATAGGAGGCAACTGATGGATGTTTTTCTCTCTCTCTTCCTCTCTCTCTCTCTCCCTCCCTCCCTTCCTCTCTCTAAAATCAATAAAAATTGTCGAGTGAAAATTAAAAAATATTTATATTGTTTTATGCTTAAATCAGTTTTCACATTAATACTTATATCACTCAATAATTTACAAATAAATATAAGCAAAGTTGTCCTACAGAAGCTACAACTTTATTAAGGGCACCACAACCATGGAAATAATTCTCTTTTCATTTCTTTTGTTTTTATAGAAACATCACCCCGTTGTTTTCTGAGTTTTTTTCCTAAAGATATTAGCCTAGTTAATGACCTTTTTCATTACCCACATTAAATTTACTATCAATAATGTAGGAGTAAATAATGCAGTTTGTCAATCATAAACTTTTTCTCAATTCTACTGCTACTTCATTTTTCTCTTCATTAGCTTTAGAGTGGACAAGGAAATAAAATGTGGATGAAATATCCTATATAATAAAAGGGTAATATGCAAATTGACCCTAACAGCAGAACAACTGGGAATGACTGGTCACTATGACACATAATGATCACCAGGGAGCAGACGCTCAATGCAGGAGCTGCCCCCTGGTGGTCAGTGCGCTCCCACAGGTGGAGCTCTGCTCAGCCACAAGCCAGGCTGACGTCTTCCAGCATAGAGGTGGTGGCAGGAGCCTCTCTCACCTCCTCAGCAGCGCTAAGGATGTCCGACTGCAGCTTAGGCCTGCTCCCCGCTGGAAAGTGGACATCCCCTGAGGGCTGCCGGGCTGCCAGAGGGATGTCTGACTGCCAGCTTAGGCCCGATACCCTGGGGAGTGGGACTAAGCCAGCAGGTGGACATCCCCCAAGGGGTCCCAGACTGCGAGAGGGCACAGGCCGGGCTGAGGGACCCCCTCGAGTGCACAAATTTTTGTGCACCGGGCCTCTAGTTAAAAATAAAAAGCAGTCCTGGAAAGACATTTTTAAGTCTTGAGCCATTCATATCATTGCACAAAAATATGGGACACTATTCTAAAACAAGAAGAAGAGTGTATTTCATGTTAACTTTTTCTCTACATTTAAAATAACTTGTTTATGTTTTACTGTAAAATTATTAGTTTAAAAATAATATATTTTTAACAAATGAAAATAAGTCAATATAATGCACCATATGAATAGAATAAAAGACAAAGAACACATAATCATTTTGATAGATTCAGAAAAACATTTAACAAAATCCAACACCTTTTCATGATAAAAACATCAACAGCCCAGTCAGTGTGGCTTAGTGGTTGAGCGTTGACCCATGAACTAGTAGGTCACCGTTTGATTCCTGGTCAGGGCACAAGCCTGGGTTGCAGGCTTGATCCCCAATAGGGGGCATACAGGAGGCAGCCAATATCAACGATTCTCTCATCATTGATGTTTCTCTCTCTCCTTCTCCTGTCCTCTCTCTGAAATCAATTAAAAACATATTTTTTAAAAGTCAACAAACTAGGCCCTAGCCGGCTTGGCTCAGTGGATAGAGCACTGGCCTATGGACTGAAAGGTCCCAGGTTCGATTCCGGCCAGGGGCACATGCCTGGGTTGCGGGCTCGGTCCCCGGTGGGGGTGGTGCAGGAGGCTGCCAATCAATGATTCTCTCTCATCATTGATGTTTCTATCTCTCTCCTTCTCCCTTCCTCTCTGAAATCAATAAAGAAATATATTTTTAAAAATTAAAAAGTCAACATACTAGTGATAGAAAGGAACTTCCCCAACCTGATAAAGAGCATCTATGCAAAGCCCACAGCTAACATCATACTTAACAGTAAATGACTGATCCACCTAAGATTAGAAATAAGACAAGGATGTCCACTCTCACCTCTTGTAGACAGCATTGTACTGAAGGTTCTAGCCAGGGCAAGAAAATGAAATAGAAAGCATCCAGACTGGAAAGGAAGAACTAAACTACCTCTATTTTCAGATGTCATGATCTTATACATAGAAAATCCCAAGGAACCCACCAAAAAAAACTACTAGAACTATTTGAGTTCAGTAAAGTTTCAGGTACCAGATCAATATACAAAAATCAACTGTTTTTCTAGACACTATCCAGGAAAAACCCAAACATGAAATCAAGAATATATTCCATTTACAACAGCATCACAAATAATTAAATACTTAAGAATAAATTTAACATTAGAAGTGCAAGGATTGTACTGTGAAAACTGCCAAACATCACTGAAAGAAATTTAAAAAGACCTAAATAAATGAAAGACAGCCCATATTCATAGATTGGAAGACTTAATATTGTGAAGATGGCAATACTTGCCATTGGATAGAAACATTCAATGCAATCCCTGTCAAAAATTCCAGAAACTGACAAGCTGATCCTAAAATTCATATGGAAATTCAGGGGACCCAGAATAGCCAAAACAATGTTGAAAAGCTGTAGGACTCACATGATCCAATTTCAAAAATTACCATAAAGCTACAGTAATGAAGACTATGTGGTACTGGCATAAAGACAGACATGTAGATCAATGGAATAAAATCAAGAGTACAGAAATAAAACCTCACATTTACATTCAATTGAGTTTTGACAAAGGTGCCGAGACCATTCAATGGGAAAAGAGTAGTCTTTTTAAAAAATGGTGCTAGAGGAAGGTTGAGGATTAGGTGAAAAAGGTAAAGAGATTGAGAAGTACAGATTGGTAGTGACAATAGTCATGGAGATGTAAAGTACAGCATAGGAAATATGGTGCCCGGTGAGTACTGGAAATATCGAGAACACTTTGTAAGGTACATAATTGCTTAGCCACTATGCTGTACACCTGAAACTAATATTTAAAAATACTGAATTTAAACTGTAATTAAAAAATAAACTTTAAAAAATGGTACTAGACAACTGAATATCCACATGCAAAAGAAAAATATGGACCCCCCCACACACACACTTTATATCATATACACAAATTAACTTAAAATGGATCAAAGGCCTAAATATAAGAGCCTAAGTTCTAAACTCTTAGAAGAAAACATAGGCATAAGTCTTTGTGATTCTGGATAGACAACAGTTTCTTAGATATGATGTGTAAAGCATAAGTAATTAAAGAAAAATAGATAAGTTGGACTTAATAAAAATTTTAAACTTTTGTGCTTCAAGGGACACCATCAAGAAAGTGAAAGATAACCCACAGAATCAGAAGAAATATTTGCAAATCATACATCTGATCGGGACTTGTATTCAGAATACATAAAGGACTCTTACAATTTAACAAAAACAACTAAAAAGTAGGCAAAGAATATATTTGTATATAGATATTTCTCTAAAGTATATATACAAATGGCCAATACGCACTTGAAAGATGCTTAACATCATTAGCTATAAGGGAAAATGCAAATCAAAATCACAATGACATACCAAAATATACCAACAGGATGGCTATAATAAAAAAAGACATGTAATAACAGTGTTGGTGAGGATGTAGAGAAAGCAGAACTCTCATACATTGCTGCTGGGGATGTAAAAATGGCATAGCTGTTTTGGAAAATAGTTTTAACGGTTCCTCAAAATTTTTAACATAAAATTACCATTTGACACAGAAACTCCAATACTAAGTATATACCCAAGATAACTGAATACATAAATCCACACCAAAATTTGTACACAAATGTTCATAGCACCATTATTCAAAGGGCCAAAAAGTGGAAACAAGCTAATGTCCATAATCAGATGAATGGATATTATTCAACCACAAAAAAGGAATAAAGTATTAATGCATGCTATAGTGGATGAACCTTGAAAACATTACCCTAAGTTCCAAGTGAAAGAAGCCAGACACAAAAGGCCACATATTGTGATTCCATTTATATAAAATAGGTAAATCGAAGGAGACAGAAAGTTGGTTGGTGGTTGCCAAGGGCTGTGAAGAAAGGGCAATAGTGATCCATTTGCAGTTTCTTTTTGGAGTGATGAAAATACTCCAGAATTACCCCAGCCAACATGGCTCAGTGGTTGAGCATCAACCTATGAAGGAGGTCACAGTTCAATTCCGGGTCAGGGCACAAACCTGAGTTTCGGCCCCATCCCCAGTAGGGGACATGCAGGAGGCAGCTGATGGATGATTTTCTCTCATCATTGATGTTTCTATCTCTCTCTCCCTCTCCTTTCCTCTCTGAAATCAATAAAAAAAGGGAAAGAAAATACTCTAGAATTCAATAGTGCTAATGGTTGCACAGCCTTGTGAATTTACTAAAAAACCACTGAACTGTATACTTTAAAAGGGTAAATTGAATGGTGTGTGAATTATACCTCAATTTTAAAAAGAGCATATACTGTATTTACAAATGAGTAAAAAGTAAGTTTAAGTGGATATATATTAGGTCAACATTTACACACTCAATGAACCATTGTTTGCAGTTATCCCTGTCAAGAATTTCACCATTAACTCAAGTAATTAGAGGTTGCGGATTTAGAGGTAATTCTTAACCTCAAATATGACAAGAATCAGACATATATCTTTCGAAGAGTACTTTGCTATGAAAATGATGCCATATATAAATTCTACGTTAAACATGCCTATTCATATCTTTGGTTATGCTAATGTCCTATTTTACAATGAAGGAGCAAAACCTTAACATACTGTTGGCATTGAACGCCTGCATTCCCTATTAATAAGATCATATTTTAAAAAAACTTCAAAACTAGATTGGTTGGCTAATGGTATACCCTGAGGTCTAGACACCTGATTTCTTCATTTCATTCTGTAATTTCAGTTAGTCTGAAGTAACTGCCGTGTGAATGCATCATTTTGAGCAAAGACTCTAATTTTGAACCGTGTCCGCCATCCTTTTCCATTATCTCTGATTTTATAGAACCAATTGTATAGCTTTGGGAGCTGTACCCACTTGCTAAATAAAAGTCATCACTGCAGCGGACAGGAAAATGCCTTGGCTTTCCAAATGCCCCCAGTGACTTCTGGAAATATTTACGGACACAAAATTAACTGTTGACAATTGCGGAGCGAAAGCTCTTTTCTCTGAATCTTTGACTTCCTGTTTCTCTTCCAAATCCCAAAAGGGAAAGAAAAAGAAAAGAACCAATTCATCTACGTAGGCTGACCCCGATGAAGCTCAGGGTGGCCGCTGGTCCTCTTTAATTCTCTCCTCTTAGGGCACAGCTTAACTGGGCCAGGTAACTGTGTATTTTTATTTTATTTTTTCTAAAGCAGAAAAGATGTCTTTCTTGACCACACTGAGGCATGCCTTGTTTAAGGAGCCTCCGGACCAGCACCCAACCCCACTTGGGCAAAACCTGTGACCCAGACCAGCCAGGCTCCGCGCCCCACAGCTCCTGGGGACACACACGGCTGTGCGGTCCAGGCTTGCGACGGGCATTTGCACAAAGAAAGCAGTGACCTGCAGGTAGCACCGCCCTGGGACTTGCACGGCGTAAAAGGTTTAACTTTTCCTTCCACGGCGTTTCGCACATCACAGTCTAGGACTCCAATGTTCCGTCTTTTCTTTAAAGTGGTTTGAGGACTTCGGGGCCAGCGCAGTTTCGTGGTAGGGCACCCCAGGGCACGCTGATATCCCGGCAACCCCAGGTGTAGAAAACAGTTCTTTAGTTCAGAGAAGTTTCGTCCCGGCGGTCCCGGTGGGGCTCCCCACCAGCGGAGGCCGAGCCGGAGCATCCCTAACTGCGTGGGCCCCTCGGCCCGGGACGCGGGGCTCCCGGGCGCGTCCCCCTGATCGCCGGCTCCACGCCACCAACCCGGGCCCCACTTTGGCAAACAAAATGTCACGGGAGACCGGGGGGCTAGGAGCCACCACCCCCACATGAGACCCCAGTCTTGGGGGGCAGCGAGGGGGAAGACGTGGGGAGGGGGAGGCGGGAGGCGCGGGGGCGAGTCTTGCGCCAGCCGGTCCCATCCCCCGGGTGCCTTCCCGCCGCCCCCATCCTCCGGCCGGCGAGCCCCCCGGGAACGCGCGCTCTGCAGGGGGCGGGGATCCCCGCGCATCCGAAGCTCTGAGGTCGCCTCTTGGCCCCCCGCCCTTCCCATCAGCCTACCTCGGTTACGGGTCCCCAGTGGCCGCGCCCGAGGTCCCAGCCGCGCCCGGTGCGGGGCTCCAGGGGCTCTCCGCCGGGGCCCGCCGCACGCCGAGCCCGGAGCGGGCGGGGGCAGGGCACGCCTCCTGCCGGGACTGGCGGCCGGAGTAGCCCATCGGAGGTCGCAGCCGAGCGCCCGACGTCACCTGGAGGTGTGGCTAGGACTTGGACTCCTCCCGGCCCCTGGAGCGGGAGGCAGTTTTGTCCTGGAGTGTGTGCCCCTAGCCTTCGCCACACCTGGAGCTCAGACCCTGTGGGGACGGTCACCTCCTTTCTTTTCCTTCTGCCTCGACCCCGCACCCACCTGTGTGATCTCTCAGCCTGACGTCTCTCTTCTTGGCCCTCCATCCTTCACCCTTTTGCCAGGTGAAGTGTCCTGAAGTTTTGAAGTACACCCTGCCAAAGACCCTCATTGCCTTCCTTTTGCTTAAACCATCAAAAACAAGATTCCCTAGTTTCGTATTGGAGGCCTCCATCCTACTTTTTCAGCTTTATTTCTCACAGCTGCTCTTCACGCAGCTAAGGCTGTTGTGTACCTCCCCGCCCCCAGAGAAGTCCTTTTGGAGCATTGACTAGGTGTACCAGTTAATAATGCGGATTTGTTTCAATAGCTGGAGTTACACACATGTTGATATCTATGCAATTTGATGTGTATGCTATTTTGTTGTATTGACAACAAGCTTCAAAACTTCATATGTCAAATTTTCTGAAGGTATTAACATCATAGATATTTTTATATTTAAAAATGTCGAATTCTGTGCCAAATAAAAGGGCATTTGCGGGAAGTTTTAATTCATTACTTTACTTTGAAGAAAAGTGCTGCTGAAAGTTATCGTATACTTCGGAAAGCTTATGGTGAACATGCTCCATCTCAAGATGCTTGTGAACGCTGGCTTAAACGCTTTAGAAGTGATGGTTTCGATGTGAAAGACAATGAACGTCCAGGTCAACCAAAAAAGTTTGAAGACCAACAATTACAAGCATTGGATGAAGATGCGTGTCAAACTCAAAAACAACTTGGAGAAAGATTAAACGTTGCTCAGCAATTTCCGATCCTTTACAAGCAATGGGAAAGATTTTATAGGAAGGAAAATAGGTGCCACATCAACTGAACGAAAGACAAATGGAAAACCGAAGAGTCATCAGTAAAATGTTGCTTCAATGGCACGAAAGAAAGTCTTTTTTGCATCGAATAGTGACTGGCGATGAAAAGTGGATTTATTTTGAGAATCCCAAATGCACAAAATCATGGGTTGATCTAGGTCAACCATCAACATCGACTGCAAGGCCAAATCGTTTGGTGGGATCAGGAAGGTGTGGTATTATGAGCTTCTAAAACCAGGTGAAACCGTTGATCGTAAAACCACCAGAATGGGCCAGAAGACAACAGCAAAGTAATTTTGCTTCCTGATGACACACCATCACACACCTTCGAAAACCAGTTAAAGACACGTTAAAAAGATCTTGCCTGGGGAAGTATTAACCCCACCCGCTGTATTCACCAGACCTTGCTCCTTCAGATTACGTCAGATCGATGGAACATGCACTTTCTGAGCAGCACTTCAAAACATATGAAGAAGTGGAAAATTGGGTCTCTGAATGGTCTGCCTCAAAACTAGAAAAGTTCTATTGGGGCAGTATCCACAAATTACCTGAAAGATGGGGGAAATGTGTAGTTAGCAATGGACATTACTTTGAATAAAGCACTTTTGATGTTTCTCTTGAAATTATCGTGTTTTCTTTGATTACAAAGTCTGCTTTTTTAACTGGTAAAGGGTCAATTCTCATTTTTAACCGGTATCTGCATTATTCACTGGTACACCTAGTATCTACTATTGCCTATGTTCACCTTGAGAAGTTCTAACTGTCCTCTTCTAAGACACAGGTCAAATCATCTTCTCCATGCAGCCATGCTTCTCTCCCCCACCTCTTCTCTTGTTTCTGCTCCCTGAGCACTTAGGTTTTTATTCCTCTTGGCACTTAGCTCATTCTGCCTGTTGTAGTGCCTTTTATTGCTCCATTAGAACTTTGAAATTTATTTTCTTCCTTTTGCATCTTTCTCAGCAGCCAGTACAGAGAATTATACAAGTAGATGAGTGATAATTTAAGTCTAATTAGATTTTACTTCCCATAATGGGATCTGGAGAGGCCAATCTGGGGGCGGGAGGGAGGAAGGGAGGGAGGGGAGAAGGGAGGGGAAGAGGGAAGGGAGAGAGAGAGAAGGAGAGGGAGAGAGGAAGGGAGGGGGACAGAGAGAGAAGAGGGAGAGAGGAAGGGAGGGGGGAGAGAAAGAGAGAGAGAGAGAGAGAGAGAGAGAGAGAGAGGAGGGAGAGAGGAAGGGAGGGAGGGAGGGAGAGAGAGAGAGAATTCTGAATGTTACGGGTAATCCTTCCCCAGGTTCACAAAACTAGGTCAAATTACTCTCTTTGGTTCACAGTTGGCCAATAGAGGGTGTCAGAGGCTTTTCCCACTACAATCTTTTTTTTTCCCTAAAGCTCATTTCACCTTATATAGAAAAAGCACGAAAGAGATAAAGATTTACAAAGTTCCTTACAGGAAAGGCAATAAGTAAATATGACTAAAAGGCCAGTAAGCGAGTATCAGGCTTCCATATTTCTTCCAGATGAGCACTAATTTTGGACTGGATCCCAGACTGCCCCCACACATCAAATTCCTTTTGCCTTCTGTGGGAGCTGATGATGCGTATCATATGAAAAATTGTCTCCAAACAGCTTTGGCAAATAAGCAGGCTGGACGGGGCTTATTTTACAGAGCACACAGGAGTTAAATAAACACAGTTTAAGTAACTTGCATCATTTAACACAGCAAGTTAGTAGAGACCAAAGAACTAAGAGCAGGAGAAAGAGAGAATGCCAAAATAGAATCACTTCCGTTGGTGAGTCAGAATACTAAATAGACAAGAGAGCCGGGTGAAGAAAGTCACTCATGAAAAGAAGCTTTCTAAACTCTGCTACCACCCATGCAAGGCTCAGCCAACGTTTACTTACTGTCACCTTTTTCTAGAAAAACATGACAAATTGAATTTGTTTGGCTGTGAAGAACACAGTGGAGCAGCATCCTGTTTCTGGCTGTGCTAAAAAAATATATGGTACAAGGGACTATTATTTAGCAATAAAAAGAAATGAAGTGCTGATAAATGCTATAACATGGGTAAACCTTGAAAATATTATGCTAAATGAAAGAAGCCAGTCATAAAGGATCACATTTTGTCTGATTCCACTTACATGAGATGTCCAGTATAGCAAATTTATAGCGACAGAAAGTAGATTAGTGGTGACGAGGGGCTGGGAAGGATAAGAGTGATGGCTAACGGGAGAGGACTTCTTTGGGGGACACAAAAACATTCTAAAACTTGTGTTGATGATTACATAATCCTGTCAGTATACCAGAGGCCATTGACAGGTACAGTTTAGATGAGTGATTTGTATGTTATATGAAACATCTCAATAAAGGTGTTCTGAAAAACGAAAACTACATGTTGAATTTTATGTTTTCTATATTAAGTAGCAGCTGTTGGAAAATATCTCTGACCAGCCCTCATGAATGTTAATGGCATTATGCACCTGTGTTTTATAGTATTTACCTGAGCTGTAATATTATACTTATTTCTGATTATTTGGTTGCCTGTCACCTCCCTCCCCCCCACACACACACACACTAGACTGTAATGAGAGTAGAAACTATCTGGTTTTCCTTTTTACTATATATCCAGCATATATGGCGCAATGCCTGGCATGTAGTAGGTACACAATAAATATTTGTTAAATGAATGAATGAAGGTGGCAAGGGAGATACAATTTATTAAATACACATAATATTCCAGGCATTGTACTAGGTTCTGAGGGATACAAAATGAGCAATGCCAGACATGGTTTCTGTCTCCAGGGAACTGTGGTCTAGGGGGAAATATGCATGTTCATTAATGTCCACACAAATAAATGCAGGGATGGGCAAAATAGGTTTGAATTCAACCACCTCAGGAGGCAGTGGGGCTAACCCAAGCAGGTCACTGAATTCAGGTCTGTGTATTGCTTTTCAAAGACGACAAGAATGTGTAAATAATGAAGGCTGGCAAATTGAGCACTTACAAGATTGCACCTAAGGGTGCTGTGTCTTTCTTTTGATAAAGCTATTGTAATAATCATAACCTGTGTGTCTTTTTCCGTATGAACTGTAAACTGACTGTGCCCACCCCTGTATATAATTACAAATTGCATTAGATGTTTCGAAGGAAAAGCACAAGGTGCTCTACAACCGAATAATAAAGGGATTTGGCCCAGTCCTAGGAGTCAGGACGGCCTTTGAGAAAAAAGTTGAGCTGAGGTGTGAAGGAAGTTGCCAGGCAAAGCAAAGGGATCATGGGAAGAGTATCCCAGACTGTGGGAACAAAAGCTACCAGGCCCTGCAGTGAGGAGAAGCCTGAGACATCGGAGGGGCTGAATGCCAGTGAGGCAGGGACACAAGGGGCAGGAGAAGAGAAGAGCAGGAGGTGGCTGCAGAAGAAAGGGGTAGACTGTCTGGGACCTTAAAGAGCAGGGCTTCTGAAACCTCAGTGGGGGGTCTTGTTAAAATGCAGATTCAGACTCAATAGGCTTGGGGTGTGGACCAAGATGCTGTATTTCTAACAAGTCTCAGGAGCACACTGTGAGTAGCAAGGTTGTGACTACATTATTCCAAGAGCACTGGGAATCCACTGAAGTGTTTTAAATAGTGACAAGGCAGGCAGAGAATGGATTAGAAAAGAGCAAGAATGGATTCAGTGTGAGCAGTTGGTGAGGGATTTGTCTTCCAGGTGAGAGATGGTGGCTGCTGGGGACTGGTGGTGATGAACAGAAGCAATGGGTGGCCAGAGCTGTGCTTAAGGAAGCTCTATCTAGCATGGTGGAGAGACTGGCTAGGAGAGGGAAGAGTAGTTCGGAGGCTCAGGAAATAACCAATGAAGATCTGAACTATGATGCTCATAATGAAAATGAAATGGAGATCATGGTGGGAATTAAGAGACTCTGGGTGGAATAGATACATATAGTAAACAAC